GGTGAAATTTTGGGAATTTTTTGGAGAATTTGAGGAAAAGATTTGATAAATAAAAAGAATTCAGTCATCGGCATAATCATGAATTTTAGGTGAAATCATTTTTTGAATTAGGGAATTGCTTAAAATTTACTCGATAATTGTCATTATTAAATTCATCATTAATTAAATATTCAAATTCAGAATTATTTTATCAATAGTCAATTGACAATTCCATATTGTCAATTATTTAATTCATAGTCAATTGAAAATTTAGATTATCAATTATTTTATTTTTGAAATTTCAATGTAGGTTAGTCAACTTCAATCATTTTAAGATGTAACGTCTCATAATATTAATAACCTCATGATTGATGCCGATCCCTGTTACAATTTTTCTGGAAAATTTTGCTTATTATTTATGAAAAATGAGAGGAAAAATGCAATTCAAAAATGATTCGTCAACAAAAATGTTGATTCATATTTCTCGAAAGCATAGTTTCTGTCCAAATGCGAGCATTGGTGACCACATTGAGGACTTTCTGAGTTGAATTTTTCATTGAAATAAATAAATCTAAATCTAAATAATCGAGAATATTATTATTTTTATCTTGTCTTCCTTTCTCAACATTTGTTGCGAGTTGACTTGAAAGTGGCCATCGCCCGAGGGCCTCCAGCCACTGAATATTTTGCTCCATAAATTTATATCTGTCCAAAAACCATGTTCTTTGAGATACAAATTGAAATATTGGTTGACGAAAAAATTTTGAAATGCATTTCCTCCCACACTTTCCATAACTTACGAGCGAAAATTGGTGATGATATTCTATCAACAGTCATAAAAATTCATACCTTGGAGATTTTTCCAGTTTAGTTTTCGAGTTTAGTTTTGGATAACAAAAAAGAATCATTAATTTGGAGGCTTCAACGGGAATTTTAACCCGTGAAATCTGATTCAGGAGGAAAAATCATGCTGAGAAAACAGTAGAGGAGGATTCGGTAAAACGGAGCGTCTTCAACCGTCATTAACTCCAGAATGGCAGAGTGAAATTCCTCAACTTTTTTTTCATTTTCAAGATATTTTGTCAAGCTGTAAAATGGGCTCAGACTCATCTGAATCGCATCATTTGATCAGGAGATATTGACAATTGAATACGGTCCGTTCTACCACATTGAGTCAGCCTTTTCATGATTACCTCCGCATGAGGTACCAAAAACTGATAGATCACACTTACCCCATCACTCCACACAATTCCACAATTTATCACAAAGTAAAAGAGTACTCCACTCGATTCGATCGTGCCTCGAGGGGTCTTCTCCACAATTCAGCGCCAGAAAGAAGACCCCCGGAGCGTTCTCGTGTCGAGTGTCGATGTGCTCGAAACAACAAACACCTCGTAAAAGTGAACAAATATTCCTATACACGGTTTGTTTTTTGTTTACAATACGTAAAAAAAGTGCGCCTCATCTACTGATTTTTTTGTCCATTTTTTAAATCATTTTTTTTTTGGCAGTCAGTTTCAGACGAGATCTGAAAGTGTTGGTGGTACGCAGTGATTATTTGTTTCAATTCAATTTGTTTAATTCCCTTTTACAATCGTTCACAGTGTGTTTTCCAAAGGACGTTTTGTTTTTTTTTCCATCATTTTCTCCTCGAATGAGTGCTCGCATTCCTCCGTGTTTTCAATTAAAACCTTTGTAGCGGAGATAAATTACGCACTGAGAGAAATAATTAGTTCTGTTGAAAAACTATATGTTACACGTGAGAATATTTGATGGAGAACAGATTACTTGATCTACTTGAGGGAAATTAACCAACTTGATAGAAGGAAATTTAATGTCTTTCATAAAAATTAAATTTTTGTCGTGATCATCAGAAATATCCCTAGATGCATTCGAACTGTTGGCAGGAATAAATATAATCGATTGTACGACAATCATTTGATCTGAGAGAACTCCATAGGTTCATACCGTAGAAAGAATCCATTGATGAGAAAAGAATTTTTTTTTCCTAAAAAAATTGTCTTCTCGAAATTATTTAGTTTTGTCAATAACACACGCTGTTAGAAATTGTTCAAAATTTCATGGAAGGTATTATAGTAAGTTTCATGAGAGTGGTATTGAATCGAATCTGGGGAAAAAATAATTAGGGAATTTCAAGTTTTAAGTAGAATTCACGGAAATTCCTGAGTTTTCAGTGGGAGTGAGATGGAAATTTCATAAATTTATTGAATTTGTAGTGAAGCATGAATATTCAGAAACTAAAAGACATGAATTTTCAATTTTTCCCTGAATTTTCCTGATTTTTCTTAATTTTGACAGAATAATGCAACTGAAAAATCAAGCATTTTATTGATTTCCAGATCATTTGAACAGAAAATCAATTAAATGTTTGATTTTTCAATTACAAGATTTCCTGATATTCCATTGGATAGTGGAAATTGAACACGATAAAAATTTCCGGAAGTTGGCACGGAAAATTCTGACGAAAATTTTTAACAGTGTACTACTCTGTTAGAAAATTACTCCTGAAATTTCAAGTAAAAAATATTGAAATTCTTAACAATCACTCATTCACAAGAAATTTTTATGTATTTTTGTACTACAAAATTACTTGAATTCTGAAATATTCAACGGAATTGCAATTTTCAAGTCTATATGATAATGAAAATTGTTGAATAATTTGAAAATTCAAGCAACAATTTCTCTGAATTTTCAATCCACTGAAAATTCAGTTGGATCTAATGTTCAATGGCCGCAATGAATTTGAAAATTTTAGATGTCATTGAAATATTAGTGACAATCTAACATGAAAAAGCCAATTATTCTGAATTTATAATCTGAATGAGAGATTCCATGAACGATTTCATATTAAATTGAATTCAAATTGACAACATTGAGAATTCAAGTGCTAAAAAATTGCTAACAACGTACTACGGAAATTATCACGTTTTGATGGAAACTTTATTTTTTATTCATAAGTAAATTGAAAATGAGTAACACGACAAAATATCTCTTCAGGGGAATATATAATTATTTAACAGAACTATTTTTTACTCTCAGTGCGCGCATGGTGGAGTCTATTATTGAAATTCTAGCACGTCTACGCTGTTTGAATTCCGCATATCGAAATTTTTTGGATATTTTTGCAAGTTCACTCTCTTTAAAACTGAATAATTCATTAAAAAATTAGGAAAATTGAGGAGATATTCGTTGGGGGATATCTCCTCCAATCGGATGAAATGTCATGTATTTCATGTTATTTTTAATTGTGAAAATTATTTATTAATAACTTCCTCGATTCTATTTATACGATTCCTATCGGCATCCCAGAGAGCACCAACATATTTACTTTCATATTCCTTACGAGGTAAAACTTCATCGTTTGTTAACCATTTACAATTTTCATGGCCAGCATTGATCGAATCTATTTTCAAGCATATTTCCTGTAAAAACATTTTTGTCGTTCAGTTTGACGAGGGAGGGGTTTAACTTTTAATCGAATTAATGGATTCGTGAGGAGTAAAATTCGTTTGATGGGACATTCCGGGATATTTCCGCTTTGAACAGGGTTTATTACCCCATTCTGGGTGATTACTTCACTATTTTGTTTCGCAATTGATCTTAAGTTGTGGCTGACGTACTCTAAACGGAGAGAAAAGTACGGTAAGAATTCCATGTTCGTTATTTTTATGAAATACAGCACAAGAAAAATTTTGGGCTTATCAATTTTATATTGGAAATTAATGAAATTTGATTTTGGTGTGGGGAATTTTTCTCGTGTTGCTCCCAATTTCTTCCCATTCTTCACATCACAGTGCCAGGAGAAGATAATACCCGCAGATAAATTTTCATAAATTTTTTAAAATAAAGCACAAGAAAAATTCTGGGTCTGTGAATTTTGTCTGCCTGATATCGGTCATGCTCGGGAGTTGCACGAGCGAATGTCAATAATATTATAAAAGCCAATAATCATTTACAACCGTAAAAATGTTATTTTGGGTACAAAGAGACGAGTGTTTACAGGATAATGTTTAGTGGATAATAACAAGCAAAAACCAATACAATAGCAGGAGAGGAGAATCCATGCAGATAAATTCTCATAAATTTTTTTAAATAAAGCACAAGAAAAATTGTGGGTCTGCGAATTTTGTCTTGGAGAGCTAATGAAATTTTATTGTGCTGTCGGGGAATTTTTCTAGTGTCGCTCTAGAATATTTCTCATTCTTCATATCCTCGTACGTGTCCGCCTGACATCGGACATATTCGGGAGTTGCGCGAGTGAATGTCAATAATAATTTACCACCGTTAAAGCGTTTTTTGGATACAAAGAGACGAGTGTTTACAGTCGCATGCGATAGTCTACCAAGCAACAGCAATACCAGGAGAGGAGAATACCCGCAGAGAAATTCTCATAAAATTTTTCAAATAAAGCACAAGAGAAATTCTGAATCTGTGAATTTTGTTTTGGAAAACTAATGAAATTTTATTGCGCTATCGGGGAATTTTGCTAGCGTCGCTCCAGAATATTTCCCATTCTTCATATCCTCGTACGTGTCCGCCTGACATCGGTCACGTTCGGGAGTTACACGAGCTAGTCAGTCTCGATTTCAAAATTGGGAACGTCAGCACGTGTTCTGCTGCACCATATGATAATCACCGATAATTGTTTTTAGTTTTCCAATTGAATTCCACCAATGATATCAATTAAATTATGATGTGTGGGAAAAAGTGAAACAACACGAGACATTATCAAGTCAGACTAACGTCAATGTAATCCCGAAGGAGGGCGATGAAAAGCCTCACAAAAAATAAAATATGTACTTCAATTTCATAATCTCAAGCATTACAGTGTTTCCCGGAATTTCTCCCCAAAAATCTTCGACATTTCTCACCGTGAAATAGCTCTTGAAAGGCGAAATTTCACTAACATTAAACTTCTTGTATTCTCGACAACTCCATCCTCAGAATGTCTCGGGTGAACTCGATAAAAATGTTTTTACAGAAGTTTATTCAAAGTTCAACATTGAGATCGTCACAGACGTCATAAATTCCGTCGTAAATATAATCTACACACATTTCAAAAGTTCAATTCGTTTAAATTCTAGGCTAAAGGATTTTTCAAGTGTAACTGTCACTCAATCATGCTTTTGGGAATATTTTATACAATGATGCACATAACACAGCTGTTAATCTCTGTCGAATTCTCGGATGCAAACGTGCCGCAAGCTTTGTCCCACTGTATTTTTAATTTCTGTTCCTTCGATTGCTCTTTCCGTCGTTACTACTCGCAGGTTTCTACGAGACTCCCTTGTAGTGGTAGAAGAAGAATACGAGGAAAACGGAGTATGCAATGGGAAATAAGACCCTTGCGATGACGTCTATGGTTTTAGCAACTCGTATCGGATGGGGTGGCTCTTTCTTCCGTACCTGCACAAAGCAGCACTACTCAGGGTCATTATAGGGTCGTCTCACGCATGCACTACACACATAACATCGATTTTTTTGTCAATTAAGGAAAAGCTCACGGGGGGAAAGACGAAAAATGAAAATGGGGAGAGGGAGGCTGAACGGACTGACTGTCTTCAAACGTCCATATCTCCTGATCAAATGATGCGACCTGAATGAGTCGGGTCTCATTTTAAAGCTTGAAAAAATATCTTGAAAATGAGAATTGGAAAAAAAATTGGGAAATTTCACTCTGCCGTTATCGAGTTATTGACGATTAAGTCTCCTGCTTGATGATTCAATTTTTTTTTTCATCGAAAATTGAACTCTGAAATAATTCCCAACGTATGAATGTTGATGACTGCTAATAGAATATGATCAACAATTTTTAGTCGTTAGTTATGGAAAATGTGGGAGGAGATGCATTTCAAAATTTATTCGTTAACCAATATTTCGATTTGTATTTCGAAGAACATGGTTTTTGGACAGATATGAATTTATGGAACAAAATATTCATTGGCGGGAGGCCCTCGGGCAATGGCCACTTCCAAATCGACTCGCAACAAATGTTGAAAAAGCGAGACGAGGTAAAAATAATAATATTCTCGATTATTTAGATTTCGATTTACTTATTTCAATGAAAAATTCACCTCAGAAAATTTCCAATGTGGGCACCAATGCTCGCACCTTGATGATGGGAAATGTGGAAAGACACAGGTCCCTGAATATTTGGAGAAGAACCATGTTTTTGAGATATGAAGCAACATTTCAGCAGCGAAGCGGTAAAACGGCCAGTTTTCAATGAATTTCTCGAAATCTAAGGGAGATAGCAAAATTTTCGTCATGACGTTCTTTGTAGCCCTTAATTCGCTCTATAAAAAAGGTTATTACGAAAATTTCGCTATCTCCCTTAGATTCGCTGATATTCCTCGAAAATTCAGCTGAGGGCTGAGTTGACTTGAACCGTTTTACCGCTTCGCTACTGATTTTAGTTGACAAATCAGTTTTGAAGTGCATCTCCTCCCCTATCTCCTTTCCCAAAAAATCATGCAGAAAATAGTGCCCCAGTTTTGTTTCAGCCTCCCCCTAATTGAAAAGGAATAACAGAGATGCAGACAGAACTATTGGATTTATTTCGAAAAAATACGATCGGGAGAGAACAAACAAGTTCATGTCTAATTTGTGCGGACCGCCCCTGTCTCTTCGAATTTATGCACGTGATACTGTAAATTTTTATTGATGCTTTCGAAAATCCAGTGGACCCTGTACTCCCATCGACAAAAGCTCCATTCAATTGGGAAGCGCTTTCAAAGAGAATTATTTTCAAAGTACCTTCTGCGTTTGGCAATTGGGTTCTATGGAAATTTTCCATGTGCGGCCTCTCCAATTTGCAAATTGACTGGGGGACTGATAGTATTCAAATTTGTTGCTTGTGATTAGCATTTAACACTGGTTCTTGTTTGTTTGCTCGAATCATCAAGGGAATCAGATGTATTTCGGAATCACTTTGTTTCCAGTGGTTCGGATTTTCAATCAAGCTTTATTGTCTTTCATTTTTCTTATTCAATTTCCATTTGTCATTATTTTTATCGACACACAAAATATCATGCAGTGGGGTTACGCACGCGGAATTCATACATACAATCACAATACATTCATGCTGAGTTACAGAGAGACGACTAAGGGCTATCAGGTTTAATACTGAGAAAAACATTTACTAATTGGAAGAATTGATATTTTTCAGAACAAGGGGTCGTGCATCAGAAGAGGGTTTCACGAAAAATCAGTTGGGGTTTTGATAGAGAGTACTCGATAGTTTTTTTTTTCATTCTCTTTTTTATATTTTACTTTTATTTTTAATGAAAACGTTCCATGCGAAATATTAAGTACAGAGGAAAAAAATTTTCAGCTTCTGGGATCCATTCCCAATTGTTAGAGACATGTCACTGATTTTCAGGAGTCTATTACCAAATGATAAATATTCGTGATTATGGAATTGAACGATTTTGCCATCAATTTTTAGCGGTATTATCACTGATTTTCAGAGACCCATCTCTAATTTTTGGGGATCATTCTATAGTCAGTCTCCACACTGAGAGAAAATTAGCTCTCACGCTTCTACGTGAGAATATTTGATAGAACGGAACAGATTTACTTGAGGGAAATTAACCAACTTGATAGAAGAAAATTTAATATCTTTCACAAAAATTGAATTTTTGTCGTGATTATCAGTAATATCCCTAGAAGAATTCGAACTGTTGGCAGGAAAAATATACTTTTTGTCCACAAGTAAATACTTTAACACTACAAAATATCTCTTCAGGGGAAAATATAATTTTTCGGCAGAACTAATTTTCTCTCTCAGTGCAGTATCACCAACAATTGGTGATAAATTCCAGAAAATCAGGGATATGTCTTCGCAAATAAAAAATTTTTCATCCTCTGTAATTTCAAAAATCATTCCACAAGACAACAAGTAAATATTTTCTCAGTATAATTGTGGTATTGACATACCTCAGCAGCACATCCGTTGGTCGCTGTGTGCGTACAGGGATTTGGACCGCAGTTTGTACAAGCGATGATCTCGTTCGGCTCATTACCACCAGCGGTTGCATTGCCACCCTCTCGTTTCTTTGTCCCCTACGACAGGGTCCGGGTAGCAGAATACTTATACGAATTAGTCTTACCTGAAGGTATCCACTTTTTCCGAATCTATTCTCAAGTGTTAATCTCATTTATGTATTGAGTATGGAGGAAAAAATTTTGCAACAATCAGTTCAACGTTTTACGAAAGTGTTCTGTGATTCATCTTTTCAAATTTTCCTCCAGAAATTTCACGAAAATTGATGGACGAATTATTCGTTGTGAACAGTTTGTCTGGATGGAAATGAAGCATTGAAGATAAAAATCATTACGGTGTGATTATTTTTTTATGTAAACCGTCAGAGAAAAGTTAGTAGTCATATCTAGATTTTTTACAATTACTGCATCATTTGTTATTCTTAATTTTCTGATTTGTTTCTCAATTTTTTGACTGGAATCCCGTAAATTTTTGACAAGTGACATTTCCAATTGAAAATTTCAGAAACCCTAATACCCCTAATACCCTAATTTCATTTGGTCGGAAGATATTCCCGATCAAAGACAATCTAGTTCATCTCCCCCTGGATTTTCAGTCAAATTTTCCGAATGGAAATGAAAAAAAAATGAATCACAATAACTTTTTTCTCCATTCCCGCATTATTCCAATACCTCCATTGACAATTTCAATAACAATTCACCAATATATTTCCTATCACGCCTAGAAAAAGGGGATCCTTCACAAATTTTAAAATGTCATCATCAATCGATATTTCAATTTCGGGTTCAATAAATATTTTTCCATGCCTCTCGTCTTTCAATAAAGGGCGACACATGCTGCAACACAATATTGTATCTACGCTCGTGGCTCTTCCAACGTTTACGCAATATCTTATCAATTTGTTACGAAAAAAAAAATTAAAAAAATAATTCAATAAAAGATGATGAAATAAGGTCGCGGTACTCTCGAGAGCCTGATTAAAAAAAAAATAAAATTCAATAACTCTCTCCTGAAGTTGAAATACTCTTCAAGTTCATGATAAGCTTCAGGAGGATTAACTGCTACTGAAAAAGCTCATGAATTGGGTCACACTACTAAGCAATTCTTTATTGTAACTGCGGATAAAGCAGAATTTTGGTGAAACAATTCGTCGATTGTTAATCATTTATTTTTTACAACATTGATTGATGATGGAGAGACCCAGTACACCCCTAACCCTCGCAGCGGGCGCCATTTTATTCAACTGGCCCCCAAAATAATTCATGATTTTATCAATGAATTCCGGCGATTAAATATTAATATCTCTTAAACTGTCGAGTCTGTTTTAAAAAATTTAATTTCGGTTCTATTCGGTTGAAGCAAATTCATTATCATTTTTGTTAGATTTAATGATTTGGATTGGTGATGAAAGCAGTGCATGCACCCAGATAAATTGTTGATCTGAATAAAACAAGATTGAAATAAAATTATTTAATATTTTTTTACGAATTTCAATGAAAATTCTCTTGAATTTATTGAACCTACATGAAATGAAGGATTATTTCATGTTAATGAAGGTTTCATTTTCATCAGAAAATATTTATTAATATTCACAACATTATTTTATGGAATTTTTATTTAAAAAAAATAAAAATCATGTTTAATTTTGAATAAAAATTTATCACGAGCTGATCCTAATGAATTTTATTTTATTCAGGCGAAGTATTTCTCTGGGTGTTGAATGTGTATTCCATAAATACACGATAAATTTGCGCATTGAAGCTCTGCTTGGTTAAAAGTGTGTGAATAAGACAAAATAAGCGAGGGATTCAAAATTCGCTCAACTGCACATGCTCGCTCAAGTATTATTGAGTTTCACTTGTTGTGATTCAGTGTGTGAACAAGCCTGGGGAAATCAGCTTACGAGGTACTCCACAGAAAAATTAATTTTTCTTTTATTCAATCGGATGAAATAATTGGTTTCACTGGGCGGGAAAATAATTCACGTTTTTTCGTTAGTTCATGCGATTGTTTTTTTTTTATCTCCTCACTTTTGTGTGAGAAATAAATGTTCAATAAGTTCAGGTATGGTCGAGTCCTGGCGAGACAATAAAGTAAATTAAGGTTTAAATAAATTATAAGTGAGAATAAATCAAAAGGATTACGGTTGCTTTCGGTGGTAAAATTTTATAAAATGTCACGCATGAAAAAGATTCTATAGAAAAGCTTAATTAATTGGATGAAAAATTCTGGTGTGTTTTTACTGGACTTTTATTGAAAATTCCATCAGTTTGTGGGCGATTCCAGTGAAGAATTCCGCAGTTTTATTGCGCGTTTTTTTTCTTAAGAGATTCAATTTTTTTATGCAATTTTTTCTATGGGGATATTTTTTATAGGAATTCCTCGAAATTGGTATTAATAATTAATGACTGTACCAATTCAGTAGCGAAGCGGTAAACTAGTTTGAGTCGATTTTGACTATTGGGCAGTTTTTGACGAATAGCTCGGAATCTAAAAGAGATAGAAAAATTTTTGTCCTGACCTTTTTTGTAGAGCCAATTGAGGTTATTTCTTATTTAATAAATAATGAAATTGGATAAATATTAAATAAATGAATGATGAATTAAATGAATAGATAAATTAAATTGATTTATTTATCAAATTTATTTATTTAATTCTATCAGTTTTTAATCAAAATCTAATAGAAAGTTCACTAAAACTTGAACAGAATTTTCCAGCGAATTCGCTAGGTTTTTCTATCAATTTTTTTCATGCGTGGTGACAAAAGTGGGAATTTTTCTGCAAATTTTTCTTGTATTGAACTGAATACAGCGTGAAGACGCACAAAATACAATTAACGAATGGATAAAAAAATAATAGAGACCGATTTTTAGCTTCAAATGGGGCTGCCACTTTATGTTTTTGGAAACTGAAATATGTACATCCCGTTTCCTCTGGCCTCCATGCGTGATATGCGGTTGTGGAGATATAAATCATAAGAATGAGTAGTTAACATGTAAATTATGGGAGGGAGTACGAAACGTGTAGAGGATTTTTTTTAGGAATGAATTCCCTTCTTAAAGGCTACAGTCGTCATTTCACTGCTCCAATTTTGTTCTTGCTTGTACCGAGATCCAGGGGAGCTTCACATTGTTGCTGACAGGATAATTATTTTCAGTCAAAGGGAGTGGAAATCTCATTTCTAGTTTTTTTTGCAGCACTCCGTTGTGCTCCCGAGGATTTTTTTCATGAAAATCGGGTCGATATCCAGATGGGGAGGAGAATGTGGTGGAAATAACTTCTGGGGTTTGGGTATCGTGTATCGTATTGGTCTTTTGGGAATTTTTTATGTACATTTTTTTACGTTGAATTTTCAATTTTGGGAATTTGGAGTCTATTTGAGATTCAATTGTTCATGCAATTTATTGCAATTAGAAATTGAGAGGTAATGAGTTTTTCATGTTGGAATGCTGGAGAAAAATTGGTATTTCATGATTATTAAATCATGAAATTTTTAATTTTCCTGGGAATTTCATGAAATTCCTATTTTTGAAGCAAATGGAGGAACAGAATTTCTCAAATCACTTGGAATTTTTAATTAATTGTCAATTCAATAATTTATTTATCTGAATGTGCCCATTTTTCAAAATTATTTTTATTATTTATTTGGAAGTTCATGATTTTTTAAGTTATAAAATTTTTAATTTTTCTGGGAATTTTATGAAATTCCAATTTTTGAGCAGCTACCAGACGAGAATCCCTCAAATCCCTTGAATTTTCAATTAATTGTGGATTCAATAATTTATTATTTGAGAAAATTCCTTGAAATATCAGTGGAACTACGATGTGATGAAAATTTCCAGTGAATTCGTGCCGAATTCCAGATAATTTATCTTGATTTTCAATGATTTTCGTGAAACAATATAACTGAGATTCCCAGATTTCATAAATTTTTTCATAGAATTTTGAATTTCAAGTGATCAAATTCCTCAAAATTTCGGGCAAACTCTAATGTGATAAAAAATTTCAAGCAATGTACCTGAAATTCCAGCGAAACCGTCTCAACTATCTGTTGAATACCAAATTCCGCAAAATTTTCATTTAATTCAACACTCAGGAATTTCTTTACCTGAATTTTTCTGACTTCTAGTCATTTTCATGGAACAATTGAACTAAAATTAACAGTTTCCTTTGATTTCCTTATCAAATTGTGAATTTTTTATTCCAGAATTTCTTGAAATTTCAGTACAACTGTCACTTGGTAAACATTGTCAAAAAGTGTCCCGAAAAATTGACAAAAAATTTTTATAGTTCTGATAATTAATATTTCAATGAATTCTCAATCCCTTTGTGAAAATTGAACATCACTTGCAATTGAATATTCCAGAAGTTGACTAATTTGTCAGTAACAAGATCCATTAAAAAATTGATATAAATTCGTTGCTGTTTAAAATTTCCCAATTTTTTACTAAAAATTTAATAATCAATCCCCCAACACCGTAGTCAATCACTCAAAAGATCAATACGACACTTAATTACCAAATTTCCGGAGTCGTGTCTCCACCACAATGACCTCTCCCAACAATTTAAAAAAATGCAAAAAACAGTGGAAAATTGATCAAACCAGAATGATGACCCACAAGCCCGGTGAGGATGCTCACGCGTGACATGCATGTGAAAATAAGAATGTCAAAAAAAGTCAAGATACTTGTACTCTTCTCTTTTATTGTACTTGTATTCGCAAGGCAATTAAGAACAGTAAAGCCCGGAGGTTGAAAACATATGCGTGGTGGGGTACTCTCGTGTCACTGAATCCCAATAATCCACGCCCCATGTCAATTAAACACATCAACTAATATCGACTGATGTTTCATTGAGTATTCAGCATCACGTGAGTGCCCAAAGGCAGAGGGGGCTCTTACCAAGGGGCTGGCCAATAAAATCCCTATCCTGCTGAGCACCGCTGGAAGCCGCTGCAACATCACAGACACCAAACAAAGAGACTTACTCACCGCTAAATTCCACCAACCAAACTTATCAAATTCGATTTGTTTTTTTTTTGTTTTTTCAATTAAACGCGATGAAAAAAATCCCGCATTTATCAATAATTTCTGATGCTTTCTAAACATTTTTTTCACCTCTTTGTCTCTCTCATTTTCCTCGCACAGTTGAAAAATCTCTTATTCATGCAACATTTACAAAAGTCGCAGCATTATTTCATTTATTAGTTATCAATTATTGTAACTCGGTGGCGCAAACTATTTAATTGAAATAAATATCGGATGTAAAATAAAATACTTTAAGGAAATAAAATCTAATCTTTTTCTGAAATAATTTAATTCAAATTTTCAATGTAATATCGAGTTTAAAAAGTATAAAGATAGAAAAGTAGAAAATTTGTAGAGACATGCAAAGTTTGCAGCCCAATTTCTCATTAATCGTTCCATTTTTGTTCAAAACAATTTTACTAAAAAGTGATGGAAAAATCATAATTTAAGGGAATAATATTTTTAAATAAACAAATGAAATTTTATCCCGTCTCGTGGACTCGATCAGGGGATTTTTAAGGGTGTGGGTGGGGTTAGGTAGGGTCAACAACTCAAATAATTATATCTGTGACACTAGTAAACGTTCCGCATAAAAAACAATCAAGTCGAATGCACGATTAACATGAAAAATTCAATTGAATTTATAGAATATGTAATATAAATAAGTAATTCAAGGGATAATATACCTATGTTTTGGTAATGCGATGCCGATAATCACTGAGATGCAGCGGAGATTGTATTTTATATGTATTTATAGATAAATTTTCAATATAAAAGTAAATAACAAGTCATATAAGGTGGTAATGTGCAATTATCACGCCAACAAAGTCACAAAGGTGCGCGGCAGAAAGATGTTGGTCGGTGTAATCGAGATGAACGGTAACAAGTAGTTGTGGTATGTGAGTGGTAAGACATCGAATTCATTCGTTGATTTGATTTTTGCAGAATTGATTCAATAGTGAAGCGGTAAAACGGTTCAAGTGGATTTTGGCCAGTTTTCAATGAATATCTCCGATTCTAAGGGAGATAGCAAAATTTTTGTTAAGACCTTTTTCGTAGCCCTCAGTTCGCTCTACAAAAAAGGTTATTACGATAATTTCGGTATCTCGCTTAGATTCGGAGATATTTCAGATTAACTCGACTTCAGCCGTTTTACAGTTTCACTAATTAATTATTGTTTATTATTGATTGTTGTTCTGATTAATATCTCGATTGCATCGATTGTGATGACGGGTTCTCGGGGGCACAGATGAGACGTGATGTGAGACATGATTTTACTGTTTTTCATCATCTCTTCCATTCGAATAAATTGAGAGGGAAGATGATTTATTTGGATTAATGGCACTTGGTTTTTTTATTCTGGCGCCGGTGATTAATCGACCCCCAGAAGATTTTTTTTCGAATTTTTTCACTGAAGAGGTTTATTTGAAATACCGAATTGTTACGGTGGCACGGTTTACGAAATTATTGGCTATTGCGATGGGAAAATGTACCTGGGTTACGGGATTCTCGCCTGGACGATAGACAACGTTGTGAAGTGGTCGTTTACGTCCGACGTAATTGACGCACACGAACTCGAGGAGGCTCGCATATATGAAACACATGCACACACCGTCCCATACGTTCATGGCAGTCAGATTTGAGACGACTGGTAGGGTCGAACGGAAGCCGTTCGACGTTGTGAAAAAGTTGAGCATTGTTGTTACACCTGGAAGGATTAAGTTGTTTTACAATTGCATTTTAGAATTACTGTATTAGTTAAAGACTATTGGAGGACTCTATTTCACTATTCTCTTCTTCTGCTTTTTACTGTCATAGTACTATCATCGATTGAAATGTCAGCAAAATTTTGCGTATTATTTCGTTCTGTCAAATAATTGATATTACTGATGATTCTTTCAGTAATCATGAAAAAACCGATTTTCTCTTTCAAATCGCATAAACAATGTGCTGTAACTCAACAACCAATTGTGCGACCCCCAGCATATTCTAATAGAATCAAGAGAGTATTGTTAGCAATTTTTTCAGTCATGACTAATTCCATTTTGATGACAATTTTTTGAGTGATCGTTGAAAAATCGAATTTTGGAAAAAAAGTTTCTTTCAAATCTGTACGAAAAATTGACTTTTCATTGGTGTCAATGAATAGAACTGATTAAAGTCTATATCCATGAAAAAAATTATGAAATTTGATTGTTCCGTTTGGAAACATTTTGTTCCATTTTACATTAATTAAACTTGAATTTGGATGGAAATGTTTGACTAATGAAATAAATTATTCGTCCATTCCAAATAAATCCTCTATCAGAATCAATAAACTATTTAACCATCAAAATAAAGAATTGCCACTAGAAATATTAGGAATTATTAAATTATTAATAGAATAAAACATCTAATTATACAAAACAAGGATTCATATGGTGACCATACTAGGATTAATTCAAATAAATAATTCCTTCAAATGCATTGAGTACTAACCAATCATGACCCTAGCTGGTACAGCATTCCACTCGAGCCAGAACGTGATGAACGAGCTTGTAACCAATATAATACCCGGTATGAAGACTGTGGTAAAATAGAAGGCACGATCTCGCGTGAAGATGAGATCCACCTTGAGGCAGCTGTAGTTACCTGTTCATCCGTTGAAATAAAATAGAGAAAGAAAAAAAATCCAATTTCTATCATACCATTATCGCTAACACCACTTTTCCTTAAATTACATTATACTAGAGTGCTTCGACGCATGAAAATATTCTCTTTAACATGTTCATTGTTTGTTATTTCGTTTTCGAGCGAATCGTGCAGCTTTTTTCCATTGTCTTCCGGTTTGGGGGATTTTCAAAATTTTTTATAAACAACTTTCACAAGCTCGGGGTTATCAGCGAGCATTCGTCAGTTATGGAGCTTTGGGAAAACATTCGCAAGTAATTTTTCTGTCCTACTTTAAATGCAAGCTGGCCTAAATCTACATTCCTTAATTACACTCAGTTTATAATTAACACATGCACGTTATTTCGGGATGATAAACTTGGTCGAATGCAAGTTGTTTGAATAAATTTCGATAGAGAAATCTTACTTTAACATTAATCTTAGATTTAGGCCCACTTGTGTACATCTCGAGAATATCCCACTGAATAAATATTTAAAGTTGGTTAAATTGAGAAATTCATGAAGCAAGTCAATGACTTGGTTCAAGTAGATTCTGATAATTGATTCAAACTGAATTGATGCTTGATTCATGTCGGGGGGATACTTGACCCTTACCACTAGAACTGGGATTTTTCAAGTCAAGTATTTCCTTGAATTGAGTCAAGTATCAATTTAACTTGAATCAAGTATTTGTCGGCTTGAAACGATAATTTTGAACACCAAAAAATCATGAATCAAGTCGACGACTCCAACTTGATATGAGTAGGACTGAAATGTGATTGATTCAGTTTAGATGTGACTTAATTCAACCAGATTCTGTAGTCCAGGAAATACTTGACCCTTATGAAAGAATAGTTTTGATAGTTCACTCATATCACTAGAATTTGAATTTTTTAAATCAAGTCTCTCCTCGACTTGAATCAAGTATCAGTTTGACTTGGATCAAGCAGTTTCCGACTTGACGCAACTCGTTACGTACTACCTGAAATAAGTAGATTCTTCGGGTTGAATCAATCTGTCGGCTTATGCTTGAATCAAGAATAGAAACTCGAATCAAGTTCGAAACTACTTGAATCATGAATTCTCCTCCACATAAATAATTAACTGAAAATAATGTCGTTAATAGAGCGAAGCTGCCCACTGTTATCGTCAAATGCGTGATTTTATTACTCTCCGAAGGAAAAATCATCGTAATGAGGTTTTATTTGAGGTGCAAAAGTGCTTTCATTTCCCCAGCGCATTATAGAATATTCAACAATTCTCTTCGTAAATTCTGAGCGAACGTCACATTCTGAAGGATGAAGGAAGCTTCATTGAATATGCCATGTAAGTAGCAAGTCGCTCTCGAGTCTTTGCCATTCGAAAAATTCATAATAAATGAATAAATCATAATTTCCTTCATCCTCCATGCAACCGTATATTTTAGTACAATCAAGAACAAAAATAATTCCCGTAAACGCATTCGCAAAAGCTCCTTGCAACCTCCCATTGACACAAACATCGATCCAATCAGGTTCTAATAGAGTGAGGAAACAAAATTAAAAAACCAAAAACAATGAATACGAAAGAATGCGAAATACTTCAGCCTCAGATGAGATATCTAGGCGTCACAGGTTCTCGGATGTGCTCAGAGGAATAGACAACAGAAAATAAAAGGGACGGAGAAGAATTTTTCATAATTTGTTATGCTTGTGGCACTGGAAAACCTTTGCCGAGTAAACGGAGGGCATTACATTCAGAAGCCTCTGACAAAATACAAAAACAGCTGTTCATCTTTCTATAGAGTATTTGCTCGATTTTGAATGGTAATGTTGACACTCTCTTGTGATACATCAATTGTTCTAGACACGTTATTCAACGACAATAGGTGACTATTTAGCAAGCGACATTGAAGCTACAGTGGGAGATTGTGGTGATGGTACTGATTAATGACAGTTGAGGTAATTAATCAATTAATTGAGGTAATTCGTTAATGTTTAATGTTAAGTTGGTAAACTTGGTCCTGTCTCCTTCCTGCCGGTCATTCCTCCATTTTGTTCTTGTTCAATGAGAGTCGATAAAACAGCGGGGAGAGAGTACTCGTGAAGATTGTGTTAGAGGAATTTCAAAACAACTCAAATTGTTTTTTTTGTTTTTCTTTTATTGAATCGTTAGTCTTGATTGAGATTTTTTTTGCACTCCGAGGGGCGGGGGTTTACCTTGCTCCTCAAATCTTCGCTGGCACAGCGAGCACTTTGAGTCCCCAAATTCATCGTACTCGTCCTCGTAGTCGACAATCAGCTGTCCGGGTGCTGCAACAGAACAGCCACCGTTCTTCCACCTAAATCTCACTAGCGGCCCACCCCCTGATATATATATATATATATAGATATTGTTTTTTGGTTAATTTTTGTTTGTTTTTGGGCCACTTTTGGGCGGCACATGACGCTGGTTTCTAGAGCCCTCAGCGGTGATATTTTAAACCTAGTGTTCTAGACGAAGCAGACCAGTTGTTCAACGTGGTTAGAACATATTTTCTTATTTTTTGGCCGATTTTTGCTTTTAATTGTGAGTTTGTTCAGGAGAAATGATCGTGTTAATTATTCATTTTACACTGGAAGTGAGAGAAATATTTGGGATGATTATTACCAAGTTTTGAATGCTTTGTGGTGTGAGATAAAAATTATTGTTGCAGAAATATTTTTGTCTTGCGAATTACGAATTTGTCTTTTGTCTTCATGAGAATTTTTGCTTCCGAGTATGGAAGCATTGTTATTGTCAAATCCAAAATTTCCATTTTTTTGTCAGGATACATTTTAACGTTGGGACAATGTTGGCTGTCAGCGTTGAGACAATGTTTGCTGTCAACATTGGGGCAACGTTGATTGTCAACCTTGCAGCAATCTTGAATTAAATGAATCATTGAATTTAATTTCATACATGGCCATAGCATTTCAGTAGCGAAGCGGCAAAACGGTATAAGTTGCTTTTGATTATTGGTCACTTTTTCATTAATATCTCGAAATCTAATGGAAATAGCAAAATTTTTGCCATCTCCTCCAGATTTGGAGATATTCCTCGAAAACTCATTCAAGAGTCAAGTCGACATAAACCGTTTTACCGCTTCGCTACTGGATTTCATTCAGAAGCAAATTGTTGATTTATTATCGAAAATATACAGACTATGTTATGACGAACCCAATTTCCCGCTTGTTTTCTTTCCACTTCAAAAATATGAGACTCAATTAATTGAATCATCTCATTATCCATGTTTGGAAAAGTTCTATGATCAAATGCAATAATTTTAACTTGTTGATTAGTCTCCTCAGTGTAAAATGAGCTGCCAGATCACTCGACAATTTAGCCGTGACCTTTACTCCATATTTTCTTCCACACCGGTAATTACTCCCGACAATATTTACCCGGGTAGGCCAAAAGGTCAGGGTTTTGTATCACATTATTCTCTAATTGACTCATTTTTATCACTCCCTAACCACGTGAAACTGGTTTTTCTAATTTATCATTGACAAATCAGTTAATTTTATCGATTTTATCCAGTGACTTTTCTCACAATATTCTCCTCAGCTCTGATTTTAAAGCGAGACAGGAACCAAGATTGCCAATGCAACCTCTCTCTAGGGGTACTACGATCAGGCTCATACGTTTATATCTAACGAAACAATGTGGCAATGTCTAGTCAACTAATCAACATGCAGTCTTCTTGATTAACAATTCGCTAGATTTTTCTATTTCATCGTCACATTTATTTTTTTCTCCCTCTCTCTGATGGATACTTTGCCTTCTACTTTTGATGTTGGCATTTTTTCGAGGAGAGAGGCACGCAAACGTAGAACACACGCATGCACTCGATGCCGTGCAGAGATTGATTAGAGAGCAAATCCACATTCTCAGGCGTCAATCGTAATTTTCCATGAGCAAGCCGACGTAGGAATGTAATTTTTTTTTATTCCAAGTTTTTTTTTCACATTTTTGGTATCTAAATGTTCGTGTTTGATTGCAATGTTTTTGTTCATAATTGATCATTGGAATTTATGCAATGAGAGAAATCCAAAAAAATTGACATCTAATCGAATTAAAGTTAAATTGACTTCAAATGAGGAATTTACATGTTAATAAATTAATTCTGGTGTTCCTCCTGGCGATTATTCAATTTTTAATTAATCAAGTCTTTATTCGGATTAACAAAAAATGTCTTTATATTCAGGAAAATATGATGTGAATAAAAATGAAAGTGAACTTTAAGTTTATCTTTGAATGAACGTTTTATTACGAATCACTTGAATAAAATCTTTTGTTTAATTCAAATGAACATTGTTAAAAAATTTTGGATGAAATTTCAGGGAGCTTTGGATTTGAAAAAACAAATTTTAGGGAAAAATCAGTGAAAACTGTAAATTTCAGTTCAATTAGTCCATTGACGAAATATTTTCTTGAATTTTCAATTAATTAAAAAACCTGCGTAATTCGGTACTTAATGTTCATGTTTTCGTTGAAAATTCAAGTGAAATGGAGAATTTTCATTCTGCTGCTGCTCAAAAATTTGGAATTTTATTGAATTCTCCGTAAAATCTGATGTTTCATGATTTTTTCCACCTCTAAATTGCATTCCATATTTAAAAAAAATTGAATTCAATGTCACTCTCTTGAAAATGTTTCAACTGTCCCTGAAATTTCCATTTTTATTCTAAAAACGAAGTACATTCAATTCGAATAAACCACTCATTCATTCAATTTTTAATTTCAACCCATTCAATAAATTGAAAAAAAAATCGAGTAAACATTTTTCACCGAAAAAGTCACATTCAAAAATTTTCCCAATGCAAATTCGCTTCTGGAAAGTTCGGGTTTCTCTCAGAAATATTCATCTCCATGTTTACGTAAATCTCAATTAAAACTGTTGATCTATAAATTTTATCCATAAAAAATCTTTTTTCGCCCCATTAGACTCGATGGGTCACACAGGGCGCATCGCAATTTATTTTTATGAAAACAACGAATAATCGCAGAGTGCTAACGAGTTTGCGTGCTTTAGCGAAAAAAAAATCACAAAAAAAAAGAGTTTACAGAGAGAATGTGGGGGTACAGGCTCCACTGGCTCAGCACATCGACACAAATACAAGAGTCACATTCACCTAGTGCCTTGAATCAGCATCACCTGATCAATTAACTATGACAATTCATCGTGCTGCGTGTCATTACGTGGAGATACACAGACACCCGGCTAGTTGAGTTGCAATGGTGCGTCGAAAACGAAAAGCATTTTTTAAATTTTATATTCATTAATAGCTTTATTTATTCACACCTATCTTCAATATTTGTATTCGATAATTATTTTAGCAACTGGGATATCGAAATGTTCGGAGACTTACCTGAAAAAAATAAAATAAAAATGTATCTGAATGGACAGATTGAAATGTTTCAATGGACAATTCACCATTTTTCGTCGGTATTGATTTTTTTAATTCGAAAATGCCTAGCTTTTTTCGGCCTGTCTATGGCCCCTCCTAGCGTGTACATTCCCTATTTCTCCTCTCTATACGGAAATTCCATTTGCAAATGGATCCATCAGCCTTCTATCACAGGCTGACGAGTAAAAACAAAAACCGAATAATCTCAACAAAGGAATTAAAAAATGGGGAAACAGGAAATTCCGCAGGGAGAGAAATGTTGAGGAGAAATTACTGAAAAAGAGAAAATGTGGAGCGAAACGTTTTGGATTTTTGGGTCCTAGATTTTTTGGACGTTTTCATCATGTTGTAGTTTCACTGGTATTTCAGGGAATTTTGTCATTGAAAATTCGATTTTTTCTTTTTAAATCAATGGAAATAGCAAATTTTAGTTCAATTACTTCATGAAAATTGATAATCAGGAAAATTCATTCTTGAATTTTCAATAAAGCGAACATTCAATGTAATTTGACACTGAATATTTATGTTTTGATTGAAAATTCAAACGAATTTTCATATTTCTGCTGCTAAAAAATTTGGAATGTCCTTAAAATTTCAGTGAAGTCTTGATTTTAATGTTTATTTTCTAAATGTCTATGTCAAGGATAAAAATGCGAGAGGAATAATGAATTTTCTTCCAATTAAGGGCATATTTTTTACCTCGGTAGACGCAAAATTTCAAGTAATTTTTTATTTCCAATAAAAATCAGTAGCGAATTGATAAAACGGTTTATGTAGATGTTGACTATTGGCTAGTTTTCAGGGAACATCTCGAAATCTACGGGAGATAGCAAAATTGTTGTCATTACCTTTTTTGTAGCCCTGAATTCGCTCTATAGAAAAGGTCATTACGAAAATTTCGTTATCTCCCTTATATTCGGAGAGATTCCTCCAAAACTCAGCTGAGCGCTAAATCGACTTGAACTGTTTTACCGCTTCGCTACTGAAATTTAATTACTATTTCGTAGGAATTGGCGAAAAATTACAAAACCCATGTTGAATTGTACTCCATGAAGAGAGGTAATTTTCACTCCTACGGGAATAATTTTTTCACCCAAGGAAATGCAAAATTCTCTTCAGACAAGGTATTTTTTATTGAATTTTGCTCCACAAATTCGTGATTTTGCCTCAACTTGTCTCTCTCCTTTCGATACATCCCAGTGTGAACTTTAAATTGCCTAGATATGTTCAGCTTTTTCGCCCAGGATTATTGATCCGAATTTTCCTTTTTTTCCACTCCAGCCTACGAGTGAAAAGATAAAAAAAAAGTGGAAAAGGGGGAAAACGATTTACGTGAACCGTGTGCAAACGTGTGAGGGATGAGCTCTCTCTCTGCCCACTTTTTATTCAGACACGGTTCAATTCGTGTGCCCGTTGCAATTCTGCGATGGAAAATTTTCAACGTAAATGTTCACGGTCAAAATTTCCCGATGAAATGCAAAAATAAAAAATAAATTTGAAAAAAGGGGGTGAACTGAATCGGATGGTGGAATTGTTGAATAAATAATCTGAATAATAAATTCATTTGGAAAATAAAAAACACGTGGAAAATGGAATTGTTGAAACGTTGGGGGGTATTGAAGAGTGTGAAAGGTCACGGTACAGTGACCTGGAAACCGAGGAATGGGGGAGGATGATGAGGTACAATTATAGTCTGGGCATTAGATTAAGTTGGGCTTACCCCGCCAGCTGGCTTTTATCGGACACGTGAGTGTCTGGTTCCGGATGAGGTATGCATTCAGGGTGGTTAAGCTTGGGCTCTTCCGCAATGTCGCCTCGTCGTTCTTCCACACGTATGTAATTGCCGTCTGTTCGTACGATACTGGTAGGAAAAAAATTTATCAATTTGAATGCAATGGTGAAAATTTTTGGATGAAATTTCCGGTGTAATTTTTGGAAATTTTCATCATTTATATATATTTATATAAATTTATATAAATTTCGTTATTAAAAATTCACAAGTTGACAAAATGGTTGGAAACTCCAAATTTAAATTCAATTATTCCATAAAAATCGATCGAAATCGGACATGAATTCCTGTCGGATCTGAAATTCATTTCCAAATGCAAATTGATGTTCAAAAAGAAACTCTGAGTCAAACAGAAATTCCTGTCTGGAATTGTCATCATATTGTAGTTCCACTGAAATCTCAAGGAATTCAGTCACTGTACATTCAGAACAGTATGCAAAAATCAATGGAATCTGTTAATTTCAGATAAATTATTCTGCGAAAATCAATAAAAATCAGAACTTCTGTCCGAACATGAACTTCTGTATGGGCAGAGGTTCTTGTCCAGATACAAATTGATGTTCAGACAAAAATTCCTGTCTGAGCATAACTTCATGTCCAGACATGAATTCATGTTGAAACATAAATTTTTATGATGTTATAGTTCCACTGAAAATCGAAGGAATTTCGTAATTGAAATGTATACCCATTCAATTTAGTAGCTCAATCGAATGATGGGAAAATTTCATTCCAAGAGGAAATGGAAATATCGTGTGGAGCTGAAATGATACCGTTACACATTCAGTCGCATTTGTGACGTCACGCTGGAGGTTATGCGAAGCGTTAACACATGAACGATCGTAAGACTCCAGGAGAGGGTATGCTGTACCTCTGCGATTCATATCTTTACGGGTCACGAGGCAAACCGCACATGATGATCCTTTCCTACGTCTGTTCCTTATGATTTGCACCTGTTTCTATTCAAATTATCCGATTCACTTCGAATTATTTTTAACATAAAAAACTCTATTCCTTGAGTTAAAAATATTGCTGCGACTCTTATTTCTTCCATCAAATTATGAATTTCCAGTGACGAAATTCCTTGAAATTTCAGTGAGACTTTAAATTATCGGAAATTTCGTTAAAAAATTGTGTTCAGACTTCCACATAAAATCTCGTAAACTTATGCAACGATTTATCAAAATTATTTTTTGAACTAAAAACTACCATCATCCATATTTTTACGACCAGATAAATGCACACAGCCGTTAAGATTATTACTCTGATGAAAAGCTGGTGGTGGCTGACCCAAGGCACTCAAAAGTGATGTATCGACAAACTGGCCTATAAAGACTCAGTGGAACGAGATAAGGGAAAAGGATAAACGATGATCACAAGACAAAATATAAACATAGTTTATACTCACTGCTCTCGATGGCGAATGAACACTGTGGGTCGTCAAAAGGGAATATATTAAGTCTACCCTGGCAGGAGAGGATGAGATGGCGCCTGGAAGAAGATTACCAGCATAAATGAACGAGACATATGCTCTATTATTGGGGAGGGGATTAAATGACAAGAAATAAATCACTCTTTCTCAATGGCACATCGAGGGAGTGATCCCTCCGCAACGTCAATTCATTCGAAATAATGGCATAAATTCACGATCAATTACCGCATGAGATAATTGACAGTGCCATTTCTATAAATCCGTAGGGCAAAGTGGACTGGAATGAGGGGATCCTTGAAGTCCCCATGCATGATGAAATACGTGTCCGGTAGCCAGATGTCATTGTGATGGTGTATTGCATTGAGGAATTCATATCTCGATCTGTTACTGTATCGCAAGCGGGGATCGTACCACTGTTGTTGAAGGAGGAATTCGACCTCATATTTCTGGAAGAATAAAAAAAAGGAAGAGAGGAAAAAAAACTGTCGGAACATGGAGGAATTTGCGTTGTGAGAAAGGGGAGCGAAAAAATGCGGGTGAAATGGGGTCGAGTTTTAAGAGCGACGGATCATATTCGTTGGAATGACGCCCGATGGACTCTTTAATGTGTGGCGACTGTTAATAGTCATTTTATATTCTTATTACATTCATTATTTTTTGAATTGTAATGGATAAGGATTTTATGACGAGAAATTCATTTCCAGAGATGAATTTATGTCGAGATATATTCCTGCCTGAACAGAAATTCTTGCCAAATCATAACCCGATATGAATTTCTGTCCGGTCTTAAATTTCAGTTCAGATGTAAGTTCTCCAAACAGGAATTCATGCCGGAATACAAATTCAAGTTCAAACGTAAATTCTTTAGACATAAATTCACGTTCCGACAGACATTCCTGTCCAAGCTTAACTTCATATCCAGCAATGAATTCCCACTCAGACATGAGTTCATGAGCAAAAAATGAGATTAAGACTTAAATTTATGTCCAGGCATAAGTTTCTGTCCAGACGTAAATTCTAATCCAGCATAAACTCCTGTCTGGACATGAATTCTTTAACCATAAATTCATATGTCGAAATAAATTCCAGTCAGAACCAACTCATATTCAGACGTGAATTCCTGCCCCGATAGGACTTCATAGTTAGGCACAAATTCATATGGCAAAATGAATTCAATTTCACGCCTAAATAATGCCTATGTGCAAGCATGCAACATTCAAAGGGAATTACGACATAATTTAAATGTTGAACAATAAAGAGGTCATTAAATTTACCAAGCTAGACTCGTCGGGTGATGCGAGACTCAACAGCAAAACACTCACGTTGACAGTCAAGGTTCCTGTAACAGTGGGAAGCACAAAACCGATTAGCTTATGTTAATATTTAAGCCCAAAATTTTCAACAAATATCATTGATATCACAGAACAGAAGCGCAGTCAGCAGGCCCCGCCACTACAAAAAACTGTGCTCTCCTATCTATTGCAAAAAGAATGAAGTACCGCAGTTGTGCCTCAAGACTTCCACTTCAATAATATATATAAGTAATGAAAACATAGGTCAAGTGAAGAAACTTGGATTCAAACGTAGTGAAGTGAATTGTTTTCAGGTCAGTGGGAAATTTATAAACAATTTACAAGTGGCAATAAAGACTCTGGATCGAAGTGACCTTTTCGGTTGAACGATTGCGTGAACGTCAAATGGGGATTCTGTCTTCAATACTTTTCTGTTTTTTTCCTTGCTTTCTTTTTCTTTTATCCGTGATTCAGACGGAAAGGTGTAGTTTATAATTAGCTTTATTCTCCATGTGACCACGTTAACTTGAATAATTGAGCCTCACGTGCAGGCACTCTCTCAGCACTACCACGATCTCCATTTGCTTCTTGGAATAATGTATGCTCACAGCCACAATTGTCGTGCGTGCATTGAGGGCGACACATTATAATTCATTGCATTTGTCAGATCAATTGAATGATAATACTGACATCAAGGTGTAGTCCTGAATTTTTTTTTTTTAGAGAGAAATTGTATTTTTTGAATCATTGATTTGACAAATGTTTCGTGTTTTTTTTTCTTACTCCAATTTTCTAATACTCATTGTTATTCACTAACATAAAAGCTAGTTTATGCTAAATCCTGGAAAGCCCAAGGTCATGCTGTGCACATGCGGCAGCACATTAGCGAAACAACGCCGTGACTCATAAGCTTTGGTTCAGCTTTTTTTTCGGTTTTTCTCCGGTTCATTTTATCACGTACACACCAGGTAGTTTACATTTATTTTTCTAACGCAATTGTGCTCATAAAGAAGTAAGTGGGGAGTAATTATACGTCTTGCTTGGGCGGGAGGGGGGAGGGGGTAAGAGTATTGCCTTGGTTTTATTCAAAATATTGACCTATTGAGACTAGGGAGAATTTTTTGTTATTCAAGGGGGTGAGTGGGGTTAAACGGATAGTTGTCAATCGTCAATATCGGGATTTCTATGTGGAAAAGATGAGAATTTGTCATTTTTTTAAATGAAGCATTTTGAAAGAATGCTTCATATCCTCGAGCGACTGTCAATAATAATTTACAATCGCGAAAATCTTTTTTGGATACAAAGAACAAGAGTGAATTTTTTTTAAACAAAGCACAAGAAAAATTCTGGGTCCGTGAATTTTGCCTTGAAAAGCTAATGAAATTTTATTGTACTGTCGGGGAATTTTTCTAGTGCCGCTCTAGAATTTTTCCTATTCTTCATATCCTCGTACATGTCCGCCTGACATCGGTCATGTTCGGGAGTTGCGCGAGCTAGTCAGTCTCGATCTCAGAGTTGGGCAACGTTAGCACGTGTTCTACAGCACTGGATCATAATCAGTGATTATTGTTTTTAGTTTTCCAACTGACTTCAACTATTGCTGCCATGTAAATCGTGATATGTGCGAAAAACCAAAGAAAAACGATATATCACTCGGTGATGTCTCTTTAAGTCAGATGGATTTAACGTTTACTGCAATTTCATAATCTCTATTCACTAAATCTCTATTGAATAGAGAATTAAAATCCATTTTCCCAGAGTTATTGACGATTGAAAACAATCCATTCTGCCCCGTTCATTCAAAGTTTCACAAAACAATTATAAATTCCAGGTCAATATCGAAGAAAGTGGAAAGCCCATTACCCGAGGAAAACACGTACTTCCGATTTAATATAAATTTCCGCTCGTGTATTACTATTCTCAAACTTGTTATATACACCGATCGATAAGCGGATAGCGGCCAATGCTCGATTCGCTTAATTAATCCGGGACGTAATTTATTACCTCAAAAAGAGGAGAATAAAACATCGGAATTGAATTAGTTTCAGAGAAAGGAAAAAAAACCGCTACTCACAATTTTCATCTGTAATTTTTCGCTTTCTGGACGACAAATTATCATCAACGATTTTCTGTATGCTTTAAGGATATCCAAGTAGTTCGGGAAATTTTTTCTGGGAGGACTCCTCTTCAGAGTTTATAGAATAGACCAGGAGTATTTTTTGAGCGCAATATCAACGTCAGTTTCCCAAAATTTTTTTGAGAAAACGATTTTTGAAAACATGTAATTTAACACATTGCCTCCATAAGAGATGTATACTCTCACCTTCAATATAATATTCTCACCTTCAGAATAACTGAGAAAGCCGTATAACATGAATATATGGTTTTATTTTTTGAAAACAAGCATTGGAAACCAATTGTTCCCCAAAAACCATTTGTGGTTTTTTCTCTACCAATTTCATTGGTAGTAGTTTCATTACTACCAATGAAATTGGTAGAAATGAAAATACGTGGAGAGTAGCAGTCATATGTAATCCGTCATATGGCTTCTGTCGCGCTTCTTGTTTAGACAAGAAATAAATATAAAAATATCCGTTTTGCCTTTAGACACACAGATTCCTAGGAAAGATTGGTTTTCCAAAGTCATTTGTGGTTTGAGGTGATTAGCAAATCTCACCAAATTGCGGTTCAACGACACTTCTTGTCTATAAAACCCCTGTGACGGTTACCATTCAAGAAATTCACTTTTCGTTCAACACATTCAGTGTTCCTCATTTGAAGGAGAGAACAAAAAAAAATTACCAATTTTCTGCGAGTGGTCTGTCTTGCCCTGCCGTCTGTTTGGCCCTACCCTCCCGAATTTTCTCGAACAAAGTTGCTAACTTGAACGAAGTACTTGGATATCCTTAATTGTCAAAAAGCTCACCACTTGCGCTTGTGCAGACGAGAGATTACGAGAGAGTTAACAGCAAAGAGGAGGTGGCTCTGAGTAAATATTACATATGCATGAAGTTGAAGAGATAAAAGTACTAATTAAGATAAGAGAAATTGACTGTCTGGGGCGGTCATATGTAAAATTTTCTCTGGATAATGAACTCGTGAAAAATTTTACTCGCTGAAGGCTCATCCGTTCGTCAAATTGCGTGAGAAAATTTTTTTTAACGAGTTCGAGAAAAAACAGGAAGAGGTGCCTTTGTGGTTACTATTCCGCCAGATAAAGAAAAATACACATGTAAACATCGAGCATTTGACACGTGGATTTCCGTGAATACGACAAGAAAAAAAAACTGAAAAAAAAACAACGCGTGACAAGGATCTTTGTGACATGGAACAGAAATAACGAGGGTGAGGTCGAACGTTTGCACTTTCTCTCCTGTAGTAACTGGAAATCTGTAATAAATGCTGGGAATTTCACGGGGGCAATCTAGTCGACAGTCACATGAATGCAATGACCTTAGAACTTTGAATTAGATGCACGAGACTACTGACACGCGAGACGGCCGGTGAAGGTGTCCTCAGTGGTAGTTTGTACTCTCGGTGATATTTTCATTCAAGTGGAGAGAAAAATCTGTTGATAATCAGCCCTGAATTTTATTAAGGGGAGACCGCGGTGATGTTTGAAAATTGCAGGGGATTATCTTTAGCATACGGACTTAGTTCTTATTTTTTATACTCAAAAAATGAGAAAAAATGAAGTTTTAATTTTTTCCCATGACGGCGTAGGGTATAAAATCTTTTTCGTGAGAAGGAAATTTCAATTTTCTTCAACCTATTTTTTTGTCATTTGGTTTTCTTTACAATAATTGATATAAAAAAACGCAATGTTTTGGGAAAAATTCCAATATATCCAGTAAAATTGAATAATTAACAATAAATCATCATAACAATTATAGAGATTATGAAATAGTTATAAAAAAGAAATTCGTCATCAGTTAATAATGATTTATAAATTTCAATAATTAATTTATTTGGTTAAAAATTTGCGAACAAAATCAGTATTTGCACTGAAATCATTGCCTTTTGTACTAACGTTTTAGTAAAAATTGACGATTAATAATAAAGTAGTGAAGTAATCAACAATAATCATAAAAAAATAATAATTGATAGTCATTAATTGTCGACAATTACTAGAGAATAATTAACTATCAATTTTAGTAGTTGTTGTATGTATAATTAGTTTAATAAAATTCAGGGGTAATTTTTAACAAATTTCGCTCGAATGGAGTAAGCAAAATTGCCAGTGATGACACGGTCACCTGGATTCATCGGATTTTCTTTCGCGTATACTTCTTTTTTTTGCATCGATCGACCTCTTCACCCTGCGATCGATAACGCAGTTCAGTAAGTCAACGAGTTTACAAGGTGATTCAAACATGCAATTTTTATGGAAACACGAATCAATAATCTGTCTTTTATGTTCTCTCGAGAGGAATAAAATGCACGTTTTCATTTTTGGGCGGAGAGATTGACCCTTCGTACGGAGAGAAAAGTCGGAAAAAAATTATCTGGAAAATCGCAGAAAATTTTGGTAAATTTTTCGATGTTATGAGATTGAATACAATTCCAATTTCACTTAAAAATTCCAGAAAATTGGGCTTTTCATGTTGAACAGTCATTGATTTTTCAATGGAAACTTGAATATCCGAACTCAATCGTGAAAATTGAACATCACATACAATTTAATTTTCAATAGATTGAGAATTCATAAAGGTATTACCTGAATTTTCAAAATTTTCAGTATTTCCAATTAAACATTGAAAAATTTTCAATGTTCAGACAATTGAGAATTACTTGAATATTCAAGAAATTAACTGATTCGTCAAGGAAAAAATATCCAGAAATTTAAAAAATTTCAAGCTTTTCCCTTTGAAATTTCAAGAGTAATTTTCTAATAGTGCACTGTTTGGTAAAAAAATGCTTCTCCGTTACAGAAAAAATCCAGACATTGAGTAATTCACATTTACAGACATAATTTTTTATGGGCTTTTTCCCTCGATAAAGAGTGAAAAACACTCTTTAGCCTAGAACTGACTTTCGCTCCACTATT